CAGTCATTTCAAAGGTGTTACTGTTCGTGTTTGTGCAGTTTGCTGCTGAGCCTGTAGCTTTTACTGTTGCCCAGGAAGAAACTAATTATTTCTTACCAAGGGACTTTCCCATTGAGCTTCAGAAATGCCACTTTATTCTGGGCCTCCTTTTTTCCCTTATCAATGAGAATTTCTCTGTTTACCCAGTCCTGTTGCTGATGTGGAAATAATTGAAGATACCTTACCCTCATTATCTCTGTCACTTACTTGAGTTTGGATTAGGTCTTCCTCTTTGGATTCCCATGGTTGTTTAACATATTCAAAGTGCTCCAGATGGTTTAAAAAGTGCAGTAGCTACCTGTGAGACACAAAATGTATCAACTTGTGCAAAATTCTTCCCTCTTGAGATGAAGTCTGAGGTTCTGCAGTCTGCAGCTTTGTGCACTCATGCCAACAACAGTTCAATTATTTATCTCCCACTCACAAGAGTGGAATATTGTCTTAACAAGATCCCATGGTCCTTCTTCAGCTCCATGAATTGTTTGACCCTGCATTTTCATTGTGCTGCCAGTCCATTTGTTTCTGGATGTTTGTACCCAAGAAGACTTGAGACTTGACAATGACTCTGGAGTTCTGTATTAGGTTGCATCTTCTATCTTTGCTGAAAGGCAATAGCACTTTTTCTTCTTGTCCTTTTCCAAGCTGATTTTCTGTTCTTAGTTGGATTTTACAAATTATCATTGCTTTAAAAGGAAACATCATGTAGGCTGGAATCATTTAGAAAAGTCACCCACAAACAGTAACAGAATCTCAGCCGTGACTAATGATAGTATTGCTGGTCTATAATTCAGTTAAATCTTCAAGAAAGATTTAAGACTTTTATAATTTAAAGCCTTATGGTTAATCAACCATGTCCCTTATTATAGTTCTTTTGTTAGTTATCACTGCCATTGAAACTGCCACTCTATATTACTACTTTTTTTTTATTTTAATCCATAGGGTCTTGCTATGCCTTTGTTGAGTACATTAAAGTCTTCTGCTATAAGAAGTCTTTCTTCTTGTGTAATGAATTACAGACCATCATCAAGTCACTGTATTCATCTTTCCAAACAGCTGAATCAAATTGAGCTGGCTGAGGTGTCTCACAGTAAGGCTTGGCTCCATCATGTAGTTCTTATCTGTTGCCTTTCTTTTCCCTTTCAGCGACCTGGCTGTGTGGTGTTCAGTTAAAGTCTTGCTGCATTAGGCCTAGATGGCTATCTTCAGCCACCAAGCTTGGACTGCCATACAAAGATAGCCAGTTCTTCTAATTAGGTCTTTTCCTTCAAATGAAAACAAACAGCAGTGTGTTTCTTTCCTTAGCTGAGTGCAGCCTCTGTCAGTCAATGCCACTGTGATTTTGCCACATCAGTGTTAGGTTAACTGCCTTACAGCAACCTGGATGAGCCCACTTGCTTTGCAAATACTTTTTAAGCAAAAGTATTGGCTGGTCTGGAACACATTCAGAACTTCAAAGTTGTTTGGAAAAGAAAGCCCATTGCTTCCATCTGCTTACCAGATAATTCTTTTCAAATTACTGATTGTCAGTTTCTAGCTATGCAACTTCTAGGATGTTTTATTTAATGGGTAGAACTAAACATCTTCCAAAATCTCATTGGCAATAGGTAATATTTCATTACCTCATGGATGTGTCTACATCATCCAACTTTCTTCCTAATATAGAATATAATTATGAGATTCTGTCTGTCTTCTATATTTTTATTGATTATTTTATCATCTTTATATCAACTAAAGGATATATATCATGTTTAGGATTTTCTTCTGATATTTTGCAGGTAATGTACCTGAAAGCTGCCCAAGTTTACTAGTGCAGTTTCAGAACATAGAATGAAATTGCTCTGTACACTTCCTTAACTACAAGATAGGTACCTGTTCAATCGTCCTTTCAGGTACAACAGATTAAATTTGTGTGCATGGTTTCTTGTTTCTGTATAGTAGAACACCAAAGTACTAGAGAGATGTAGTAACTTGGTCCAACAAACATTTCGATTTCATGTAGTGTCTGTGTAATGAATGGAAAAAAAACTGCAAGAAAAGAAATCGTGACACCAAAGAACTAGAGTCTACGCCTAGTTTTGCTGCTGAAGTAGGGTATGTTTCTGAAACATGGACACAGTTATAATTTGTGGCCTTTGGCATCCTCTTTCATTTGTAAAGCTAATTAACCCCCTCGGGGCCAAGTGCTGCACACCAATCTTTTGCCCTTTGTGAGAACAAAGTGTGGGTACCTCTCGTGCTTCCTGAAGACAGGAAATTGAAAGTTCAGGGGCCTCTGAACTGAGAATATTAAAGAGTGAGAAGAGCTGAAGGTACCTCAACAGCAAAAAGGTAACTGAACACGGGTTGGAAGTTACAGCTGTCCTGCTGGGTTCTGCATGAGGATCCCTCCCAAGCACTGGCCTTCACCTCACAGTCCTTGGACAACATTTAAGGAGTCTATAAGGTAACTAAAATCTGGAGGCTTGAATTTGGTTTGCAGATGTTTACATTTCCAAGGGAAAACACACAGGCATCTGTAGATCAATAAAGGTTGAGAACCACTCCTGCAGACTGCTTCCATAGGCCGTGCAGCTTCCCTGTGGGACGTGCCGAGGCCTGGGCAGCACCGCTCATCCTACAGGTCGTGTGTGGGACCAGGAGCTACCTACAGGAATAACTGCAGGAGGGAGCTGTAGCAGCAGCCTGGGCTGAGGGGGGAGTGTCATAACCACAGGGGTTAGCGTGTGAGGCTGGGTGAGGGTTAGACATCAATGGTGCTGGTCTCCAGAGCTTGTTTCAGCTGGGAAAGCACCTTCCTGGACAGCCATCTGCACCCGTGCTCCGACTGCAGCGGGTATAGTGTTTGAAAAATATTCCTCCTCGACAAATGACTGCCCTGCTGACACTTCCTCTGTGGGTGAGGCTGCCTCTGGAGCCCTGAGCGATGCAAACCCTTTCTTTGGCTTTGTAAAGAAAGCAAAACAAGCTTTCTGGCACCCAGAGCTCAGGAACTAGTTTTTGCTGGAATGGTAGAGTTTCTACTGCTGTGAGACCACACAGGCACACAAAACTGCCTCTCCCCTTTATTTTGCAAATTCACAGTGGCAGTTCCTGCAGTTAGAGACACATTTGTACACTTTACTGAGATTTGCCAATTAGATTTTAGGCAAGTGCCTCTTTGCCCTATCTTTTGTATCTGCAGTGGCAAGAAGTCCAGAGGGAAATTGTCTTTCTGGCATCCTCCTAGCCTTGGCTTGGAGGATAGGATGGGGTTCCCAGGTGGTCTCCTAAACAAACTAGTGATGTCTAAGAATATGTAATTTTTAACATCAGCTCCATTCAACTTGGTAGCCCCAAGCAGATGTGTTTGGGAGATTCTGATTTAGGACTGTGACATGGTATAGGGAGCAGATTTTTTTTTTTTTTTTTTTTTTTTTTTTTTTTTTTTTTTTTTTTATGTAACAGCCACATCCTTCCCCTTAATTAAGAGTATAAGGCAATTTATATGAGAATTTTGAAGTACTTTAAAGAGGCTTAACAATAATGTTCAGCTAACTGAAGCCAGCTGCTCCACATGGGAACTGAAAAGACTAAGAAATGTGTTTTGAATAATTAAAAATATGTCATAAATAACTTAAATGACTGTAGGAAGAGGAATGGAAAACTCCATCATCAGAACAGAGAGGCTCTCTGAATTAACCCAGTAGTTTAACAGCAAGATGGTTCAGAGTTCAAACAGCTGCAGTTCCTTTATGTAACAGCTCCTCAGTCTTGCAGTGCAGGCTGCTCAAAGACTTAATCCTACTATATCCATATAGATAGAGGCATGGTGTCTTGGAAGATCTTTGTGAGGAAAAGAGAGAAAAATAAATCTAATCACTTCTCCCTGGGGCCAGAATCTGGGAGCATTCAGTCCTGAGCGATGGCTGTCATTGCACAGACTGTCAAGAAAAAAACAGGATAGTGTAGATGGGTAGGCAGAAGAAAGGTGGATGAAATGGAGTATTAGCCAAACCCAGTTCCCCCTAAACTGTATAGGACGCTAAATGAGCGCTGACCTCTTGAAAAAAACAATCCTGCGTATCTTGGAACATAAGGATCAACAGAAGTTAGATAATTTTGTCTCAGTTCCTCCATAATCACACGTGACTTCACAGCACCACACCGTGCGTGTAGCAAAGGACGGCTGGGGAGGGGCTCTACAAGTGGCTCCTGTGTATGGTCACAAGAGTGGTTCTGGCGTGATGAAGAGAAAGAGAGCACGGTCACACGTTTAGCTTAATTGCCTTTGTTAGTCTGTCACAAGTGTTAGGTTGTCCCAGTCCCGCACAGCAGAGACCCTCCATCCATCTCCACTCGTGACAGCAGCAGCTGCCCCGCACTGGCGGATTCGAAGTGAATGGAAAACCACGGTGACGAGGCAGCAGCACTTCCTCGGCCTGATCCCAGGATGGGCCGGGCTGGAAGGGACCCCAGAAAGGGACCCCAGAAAGGGACCCCAGGGTGTCACTGCTCCAACCTCCCCGCTCGAGCAGGCTCGTTCCTCCCACAGCACACGGCACAGGATTGCCTCCAGAGGGTTCTCCGCTGAGGGAGACTGCACCACCTCTGGGCAGCCTGTCCCAGTGCTCAGTCACCCGCGGTGAAGAAGTTCCTCCTCACGTTCCGGTGGAACTTGCGGTGCATCAGTTTCTGCCCTAGTGCTTGGCACCACCGAGGAGTCTCACACGCTCCTTTCAGATACTGAGAGACGTGGATGGGGTCCCCTCTCAGTCGTCTGAGCCTCTCGGGCTGAAGAGGCCCAGCTCCCTCAGCCTTTCCCCGTAGGAGCGGTGCCCCGGTCACCCCCTCCGCCCCCCGGGGGGACCGCCCGGGGCAGCCCCGCGCAGCCCGAAATGGCGGCGGGAGCGGGGCGGAAGCGCCGGGGCAGGCGGGCGGAAGCGGCTTCGCAGCCGGGCAGCGCCGCTTCCGGGCCCCGCGCGCGTCCGCTCGCCGCCGGAAGCGGCGGTGTGTGGGGCGCAAGATGGCGGCGGGGATGTACCTGGAGCACTACCTGGACAGTAAGAGCCGCCGGGGCGGGGCCGAGGCCGCGGCTGAGCCGGCCCGGGGGGCACGGACGGGCCGAGGGGCGGGGCCCCGCGGGGGCCGAGCGCTGCCCAGGGCGCCCGCGGGTTCTCCCCGCCTCTCGGGCGCTGCCCGGTGCCCGGGCCGTGCGGAGAGGCCCCGTCCGTGGGGCAAGGCTCGGCTGCGGGAGCCCTGACAGCGCGGCCCCGCGGCTGCTTTGGCCCGTGAGAGAGGAGCCCGGTGCAGCTCCAGGCGCCCCTCGGGAGCGGGAGCTTGGCTGTCGGTGATTTCCCGGGATAGACATCGAGCACAGATAACTTTGGGATCCGTGGGGCGGTAGTTATGGTGGTTTTCTACGCTGTCAGTTTCCAAATGCAGCCCCACTTTTCTGGCCGAACAGGAGCTCTGTAAATGCCAATGGAGTTGGCAACGTTATCAGAGCCCTCCTATGGTACCTCCTATTTTACCGTCCTGCCTTAAGGTGCTTAAAACTTCAAACTCTGCCCTTGGGGGATGAGACTTTCAGTGCATGCTTTACCCACGCGTGCTTAAAATAGCCGAGCAGATCCATCGGAGGAGTTGTTTCTCAATGAGTGGGCTAATGAGTTCAGATTGAATAACCTGTTCTTTGAGGAATGCCGTTCTCATGGTTTCCTGCTGGTCTGGTGCTGGCACTGGAGACAGGGGAGGATGTTCACGGGATGGTGTCTTTAAAGCTGTGGTGATGTGTCTTGTGCTTCACTGCACCCAGCCAGTGACATCTCTCACTGTCTGCTTGCATATGCATGGGAAATAATGGAGTTTGGCTCTTCACATTTCCTGCTACACCGCGTTTCTTCCAGCACAGAAAAGATGAGGTGCTGGTATGGACACAGAGTGTCTCGTTCCTTGCATCTTCAGTGCTCCTTTTGTCTTTAGGAAAGGAAATGTCTCTGAGAATGTTCAAGAACCAGACTAAATTTCAGTGGAGGCTGAAAAGAAGCTGCAGTTGGACAGGCAAGGATCTCTGAGGTGCAAGGAAGGAGGCCAAAGCCAGGGAGAGGAGTGGAATGAGGAGGCAGGTTGGAGAGGAGCAGATTTGTGTTCTTGTGCAGTTCTCACTGCGTTGCAGAAGGCTGCAGCTGACTGAGGCTCCTCAGCTGGGAGGAAAAGGGCTGGGAAGGAGGAGAAGAAGCAGATGGACAAGGAATAAGTGCACAGGAGGGGGATGCAGGGTTTTCCTGCTGGGAGGGCAGGGCTGTGTTTGGGTAAGAGCTGCAGGGCAGAGCTAAAGGAGCAAGAGCCTGGGATCTGCACTCAGGATGCTGCCCTCAGTGGGCAGGGGTGCTGCAGGTGCACAGCTGCAGAGAGGGAAGGTTGGTGGCTGGAGAGTGCTCCTGCCAGAGTCAAACACCTCGGGATCACGTCATCACAGTCAGCTAAAATCAGCCAGCCTGGGAACTCTTCCTCTCCTGCACAGGCATGCAGAGGAAATGCCAAAGTCCTCTCTCTCAGCTGAGGTTTGGATCCTGAGACTGGGTTAGAGATTCTCACCCTGGTGAAGGTGGATATTAATGCAGGAGAGTCACTGTTGTGGTTGAGGTGTCTTGCTTAACAAATTATGAAAGTGATGTGCACAATCTAAAAGTCCTTAAACCATCTGCTTACACAGATTTTAGGAAGAACAAAACATCAATTCCTGTGATGGTTTAGCCTTTTTTGCTTACCCTTAGATCTCTGCAGCCTGTTTCAGGTTTGTGTGGTGCAGCATTACTTGCTGCTATTATCCACTCATGAGACACTTGCTGGGCTGATTCTGGATTTCTTTCAGGAAAGCATGAATGTGTTGTGACACTTGGCATCAAAGAGCACCCATCACATCTTCAGTAGGTTAGGCTGCTGATAGGTAATGGCATTCATTTCTGATTATCCATATTGCTCTTTCCTAAGCCTGCTCTCCTCTCCTGGCTTCTGCCTGAGCTCCTGACTCTGTGGAAATGCATCCAGTGTTCTAGACACGAGTCTTCCTCTTGATGCTCACTGATTGACAGCATTCAGTTTCTTACTTGCTGCTCCACTTTTTCCCCCCACATTATTTCAGTGTTTCAAAAACATTCAGTTCTGTTTTAAAGCAGTTCACTAATATCCTAAAAATTCCTGAAATTTGATAGAAATAAACAGTCCAGAACTTTGGAGTATCTCTTATAAAAAGTGTCTAGTTCTGAATTAAAGTATCTAGTTCTTAATTTACATCTGTGTCTTGGAACAGGATTCTTTTACTAGCATAATGCTCTTGCAGACACAGTTTTCAGTTGAATATCTTTTTTCTTCCCACAGAGCTTCTCTTTCCTGTGGTTTTCTGTCTGGATCTGCTCAGGGAGTGAGTGAGGAATGTGTGATGAAAGAGGGCAGTTATTTGTAGGACCTCTTCATATCTTTGAATAAAGGAAGGTGTGTAAGGAATTAAGTGAAAATTGTAGGAAGAATAAAGGTGCCTCCTGTTTGAAGCAAGTGAATATCACTCTGCCAAAGTGAGTTTGGTGGGGATTTTTATGTTGTGAGTCCCACTTTGTACAGGTTTTCCTTGCTTGGATTGTGCTTCCCTCAGATTATGAGTGGAAATTTTTAGTCAGGGGAGCAGATGTGCAGAATGCTCAGAGCTGCAGCTGGAGTGTGCTTTGAACAGATAATTCTGAAAAGTCGTGCAATGAAGCATTTTTGCACACTTCAAGAGGAGAGTTTGTAATTAGCTGGCCTTTTGGCTTTAATCTCTTGGCCCCAGTAAATCTGATGGCCTTCCTGCTGTTGGTGAGGACAATGGGCCACTCCACTGCAGCATTGTGAAAACACTTCATTGTCACAGCAGTGAACACCTTGAAAAGCTGGCTACAAAGTCAGTTTTCAGATTGAGCTCTGGGTCTGAGCTTGTGACCCTGTGTTGAGCAAAGAGAATAATATAAAACTTTGAATCAGTGCTCAGTCACTGGGAATGAGAAACACCTTGCATGAAACATCATGTGAATAGGTAATTAAAAACTGTATGCTGTCATGCTGTCAGTTCATATATTTTCAGCCCTCTACTTTAGACATCTGAAGTTCTTTTCCTTTTTTTTTTTTTTTTTTTTTTTTGGTGGAATAGCCAAGTTAAGAAGAGTTCTCTTAGTAAAAAGTGTCTAGAAGCTTCTTAGGTTTCTTAGGTCAGGTATTTCAGCAGCTTTCAAGTCTTGCTGTAATTTGAAACTGGGTTTAGGCCTAGGATTAGGCATGCCCTTTCCTTGGCTTTAAGCTGTTAATTACAAAGCAAATCTGTCTGAAATGTGTTGTGCTCTTGGCAGATGCTTTTGCAGCAGAAAAATGCACACCTTCCTTCTGTGCTGAGCATCCTGACAGAGGAACTCCATGTCTTGTCCACTCTGCTCACCTTCACTCCTTCATCCTACTTACTGAGCCAAAGGATTCAGGGAATGGGAGAAGAGGAATGTGTCTTGTTCCACTTTTCTTCCTGAGTGTTTCTCTCCAGTGGCTGAATTTCAACATAAACAGATTTCCATGTCTTCAAATATTGTTCTCCTTCTGGTTTCTAAAAATCCAGAAGCAGAGGGGAGAAAGCAAGATAAAAAAGTGCTTTCCCTCAAGCAGTAACACAGTGCAGCTTTAGTAAGGGAAAACCTATGGGTGCAAAGGAGTTGGAGATGCACAAAGGAATGGAAGAAGGAAGAGAACAGTGTTTTGTGATTAAAAGGTGGAATGTACATAAAGATTTGTGAGAATAATTTGTGCTTGCTTGAGTTGGAGTTCCTGTGTTTGGCTCGGTGTTGGCCCTCGAAGGAGGTTAGAAGTACTGCTGTGGAGGTGGTGGAGATGCTGAGATGAGGTGAGGAGACCTCAGCTGGGAAGGTGACAGGGTGCAGTGCAGTCAGTATGCCTTGGGCTTTCCCCCATTTCCCCCTGGTTAGGGAGGCACTGAGCTCCCTTTGCCCCTCTGTTGGCACTTGTCAGTAGGCACACAGAGCTGCACCCACTCAGGGGCTGTCACTGCTGGAAAGCTTCAGCCAGCATCAGCACACAGCAATGGAAGCAGCACATGGAAGTCTTCTTTCTCCTACAACTAGCATGGGAATGTCCTATCAATGTTCCTTGATAACACTAGCTCACCTAGTAAAATAGGATTTTTCTTTTGGAATGGCCCCATCTGTCTGGATTTTCTTCTGTACACATTCATCAAATGAGGGTGTGATGAGTGTTGTCATCTTGAGGCTCTCAGAGGGCTTGGGTGTGATGTTGGAGATTGCTGTAGGCAAGCCCTTGTTTCCTTCCCAGACCTGGCTGTGTTCCAGTTTCCCAGCAGTTCCTTTATCTCTTGCATTCCCTGCCTTCCTTACTCCTGTCCCCTCCCCAGGGTAGCATGCAGCCATACCCCTGGCCCTGCCTCTGCAGCTCCTCACACCAATCTGCAGAAATGCAAGGCTCTAAATAAATCATTTCTCTGCTTGTCACTGTTCTAGTGCAGTCAAAGATGCCTTTCACCTTTCAGAGACTTTGGATTGGTTACACCTGTGATGCACCACACATGATCTATGGAAAATTACAAAAGGTTTCATGCAGGGGAGGGAATTTGGTGATTCATAGGCATCATTTGTTTCTGTGTGAAAGCTACGGGCACAGCCCACGCTGAGCTGATACATTTAATGACCAATTCATCTAGAATTGGTTTTGTTGTTGGCTGATATTTTTATTGGAGCTGATACAAGATAGCTTTACATGGCAAAGCCTGCTGTGTTTTCTCTGTAGTTCTTCACTTACCCAACTGCAAATGTGATGTCATTGTTTTGGCAAACAGCCCTGTGGGCTCTTTGGTGGTTGTCCCTGCCTTTGGAGGGCTGTGGCAGGCTGCAAATGCCAGGAGTGTTGCCAGCCTCATTCATTGTGTCAGTCTTTCAAGCCCTCCAAGCTTTCCAAATTCAAGGTTGATCCTTGATAAGAAAGATCCCTTTCCTGACTCTTAACAACATTCCCT